TTCTTTGCTAGGAGCCCCCCCCCAGCACCACTGTGCTTTGGGGTCCAGACCTGTCGGGGAACAGGGGGGGGAGTTTGGGGTTGGTGCAAGCAAAGTCTCATTTTGGTGTAATCCAACCCCAGATGGAGCGATTTCGTGCCACGACAGAAAGCTGATGGAAGAGCAAGTGGAGGCTCCCTTTGTATGCAAGAGGAGGGAGCATCTGATTTCATCGCCCCCTCATTGCAATGATGAATGGCCATTTCAAGGTCAGTACCTGAACGTCCTGGAAGCTTGGGTCTTTTCTCTCTGGCTGTGGAAGACAGCCAGCCACGTCTTCTGTCAGAGGGCAAGGGATTTGGGTGAATTACAGAGGTGCCAAATCCTGAAGGAGGGGAGGGGAGCCCGGTGGCTGCAGCAAAACAAACAGTCCTGCAGCACCTTTTAGAGAGAGCACCAGGCATGGCAGAGAGAGTCGGTCCTCTCCCCTTAAGCTTGAAAAGAAGAACCCCGGCCTGCTACTCCACAAGGAGTTTTAATTTCCTTGCCAGTGCCAAGATATTTGCAATCGTTAACACCGGTTTGTGAATGACCACTGCAACTACTTTTTCTTTTTTGCATTGCATTTCCCTCTGATCTCAGTGTTTACAACCTGTTTCTCCTAAAAACTGTGCGTTCACACACACACACAAACACACCAGCCAACTGAGGATAACAGTTAAAACGCATCAGATGAAATTGACTGCAGTTCATGAGAGCTCATCTGCCAGTCTTTCAGAGGCTGCTCAAACCTCTGCTGTTGTTTTTTCCCCCTGAAGAATTATGTAATACGGATTCTTAGCAGGCATTTGCCAGGCAGGCTGAGCTCTGCAGTCTAGCTATTTTAGCAGCTGAGAAGCACGGGGGCTCCCAGCAAAAGCACGGCGGGCAAGGGAGATGCCGACAGAAGAAGAGCGGCATACTCGGCAAGCGGCTCCTCCGCCGTGCGTGTTAAGGACGGCACGCTCTGGAAAACAACACTCTAAGCGGCAGAGATGCTACAGCTGCTTTAGAACAGCGGGAGGGCTCCTGAGAGAGAAGAACTCCATGCCATAATCTTGCAAGGAAGGCTGCAGGATAGCGGTCTCTCCTTGAAGGGTCCTTGAAGGCTGCAGAGACCCAGGCAGGGAAGGAAGGAAAGAAAGGGGCAAGCAGTGGGTTCCCAGGGGAGCACCTCTGAGCACCATGTGCCCGAGAAGGGAGCCGAGAGAGGCCTTCAGGGAAAAGCTGTCAGGATGAACTTGCAACGGGCGGCCGGTTACCCAAGATGGCACGGGCAGGGTAAGGGAGGGCCCGGCCCTTGCCATGACAACCGAAACCCCGCTCTGCCTTTTTGTCTGGCCTGCCGAGAAACAAATCTCAAGAACAGAAGCCACCACCAGTCTCCTTTCACTTCCTCAATTAATATCCCCAGATTAGATCTTGATGGAATGGTAGGATCCCAGAGGCCACTTTAAGAAGCTACCAGCCACCCTACCCAGAGGAAATGGTGCGCATGTGCCTGCACATGTGCCTGCGTGCTTCAAATTGCTCTGCACACCAACGTTTGGGAGAACGGGTCCCCAAGAAAGAGAAGGTGTTCTGTCCAACTCACACATCCCACCTTTGTCCTGGGAAACTACTCGGGACAGACCCGTCATGGCTGCAAAATCCTGACGGCACCTTCTCCTCTATTCCAGATTCCGGTTTATTGACAAATCTCCCCCGGAGCAAATCACTCTTTCCCCCACCCATATTAGCAAGTAGGAGAGAGCAGCCTGCATCAGGACGACTGGAAGGGCGAGAGGCAGGAGAGAAGACCGCAGGGCGACAGCTGGATTGGTGGACGCGTAGGCAGGTCCTCGACAGACTGCCGAGTATGAAATGGGGTATTTCTGGGGATCAGAAAGGTGAGGCACTCCTGTGAGAGACCATTGACATCAGCGCTATCCAGAGGGAAAGAGCTTCGCATGGCGAAAAGACCATCAGCACCATCGGTAATTTACATCCATTCGAGGCCGGACACTGGAGGATGACACCTCGACCTTGACGGATGCAGAGAGTCGTCAGGGACTTTCCGATCCCTCCTACCTCGCTTGCCGTTGGAATGCCTGCCACCCCCACCCCCAAGAGTCCCAAGCCCTCATAGGATCAGGTCCCTCTTCTGACTACATGACATGCAGACACTGCTCCTTTCAACAGGGGGTGGGCAAGGCGGGTGGGCCAATTTACAACCTCTGGTTGCACTCTGGGGCTCTCCAATCTACTGAAACGGCCCCTCCCAAAACAGAATGTGGTTGGAAGTAATTGAAAAACATTCAATGTTGGCTGTTAAAGCGTTCCTGTTTAAAAGCTGAACGTCCAACTCTTGGAGGCATCCATGCCTTGCCATTTTTTTTCTTGCTGGGAAATGCAGAAACAGCCAGGGGAGGGCTGCACTTAACCCCCCCCCCTTTTTTTTAACTTTTAATGATGGCTTATCCAAAGAAAAGCTCATGGATGTGCACCATATACCTCCCTGAAGATGTCAGCGGCTGTTAGAAGTTCACCAACTCATTATACAACTCCAAGTAGAGAGATTAACAAGCAAGCAGTAAATTGAGGCCATCTCACCCAAAGGCTTAACACCGATAAGAAGGAAGAATCTGGCAGCCCATTGCGGTGTTCAAATAGAAAGGGGTTTATCGGCCTTCTAGCCCTTTGCAAACTATCTTTTTCAAAGCTTTAGGGAGGGAAGAGTCGTTTCCCGTATTTGAATCTGTGACTTCAAATACGGGCGAGGAAGGGCAGATTGCAGATGGGAAGAGGCTGGCGTTCGCCTCCACAGAGAAAGTCTGAAAACAAACAGATTAGAACCCAAGCCAATTCAACAAGCTGCTTTCTAATCACCCGCCAAAGTACCTGGCTCTGCTTGCAGTGGAATAAACTTTACTGTCACAAACGGAAACGCTTCCAGCGGAATTCCGCAGCTGCCACCCGGGGGGAAGACAATGCCTGGCCTGTCTGAGCCAAGCCACAGCCTCTCTCTCCACGCCCCCCTCCAAGCATGCCTGCACCTTTGGGGCACCAGCACAGCTCCTGGGGAGAGCCTGCCCACTCCGCAGAGGCGAGACAGGCCTAAAAAGCTCTATGGGACAAGCCCCCTCAAGAAAGGCAGCAGGATGAAGTCAGGAGGTGGGGTGGAACCCAGCCCTTGCACCAAAATAGGCCCCTGCCCATCCCATGGCTGCGAGTTGCTGTGAGGTCAGACCGAAGGGGGCTCATCGGCACCAAGACCTAATCTCTACAGTCAAGGTGCAAAAAAGGCCCTCCTTAAATTCCTCTTTTCTTTCTCATAAATTTAGTCCACCCCTCCTAGGGGGAGGAATTTTGAAGCCCTGTGCCATTGCCTACCTCCAGGCAAGACGGAGAGACCAGGGGTGATGATTTCCCCCCTGCGCCACACCTGCTAGTATTTCCGCAATTCATGCAGCGAGGCATCACTTTAAAGCCAAAACTTCTCCAGAGTGAGACCAGGGAGGGATCCTAATTAAATCTTAATTCAGGGGAAAAAACATGGAAAATATTGGCCTGCATCAGACTGCAGACCCTCCCTCCCTCCCTCCCTCCCTCCCTCCCTGGAGGAAAGAAGCTGGGTTCACCAGCCCTCAGCAACCAAAGCTTTCCCAGAGAAATGACAGGGACTGATTAATTATGGGATAACTTACATCTTCTCTTCAGTGAGCAGAGGGACACACACGATTCCCTTCCTCTCCAGTTTTAACTTCCTATCAACAACCCTGCGAGGCAGATCACGCCAAGATGTTCCGGCTGATTCATGGGGACCTACTAAGCTTTGGGACCAGAGAGATTTGAACCCTATTCGCCCGAGGACTAGATCAATAGGCTAACAACTGCAACCACAGCACCACTGGCCTGCATCCCATCTGCTGAGCAGAAATTAGGACACAGCGCCCACAGTCTAACTCAGCCCCAGCCTGCATCTGCTCATCTTGAAAATAAATAATACTGGGGCTGGGGAGAGCCCTCCCCACCACAATGCTAAGCTTCAGGCTTACACCAGTGCTGGTGTAAGCCCTCGAGAGATTCTGTTTTGCTCGGAGCAGGTAAATCCGCGTCTCCAGGATAGGAGCAAAAGGCCATCGCTGTCATGCTGCGCTGGCCCGGTGTGCTGCCATCCTTGGTAATGTCCGCACAGTGCTGGTGGATGCAGGGGTTGCCACAGGCCAGTGGAAAGGGTCGAGGCTGAATTCAGAAGATGCGCTGGCATGCACATGAGAGGCTTAATGAAGTCGCTTTAGCTACTTCCAGGGATTAATAAGATATGCTGAGCAGAAATTTTTAGAATTGCAAGATATGTTTATCCCCCCCAAAGATGTTGCACTAGGCGTTGCTGTTTGAAACAGGTCATCCTTCTTAAAACACAGGTTCCTGAACACAAGTCAGGGTCAAACTACACCAGACCCCCCAGGCTGGCTTTTAAAGCCTCCCTCCCTGCTGGAGGGACGGAAGACCCGGTTGGTTCATGTGGGAGCGTTTCTCACGGCCGTGACTTGTGAAGGAGCTTTCTTTCTTCTGTGACTGGTCAGCAGGAGATCCGTGTGGCTTTGTTTCCCAACCCTGCTACAGGTTGAAATTCTGCATATATACAGCAGGTGCCCAAAATCTTAGCCCTCTAACTACAAACCACAAATGGTAACAAGGAAAAAAAAGGGGGAGGGGGAGGACACCGCTGATTGGAAAACAGAAACAAGGGCCAACAGAAAGAAAGGTCTGAAGGATAATGCCACCCTCTCAGCTGCCTGCTCATCACAGCCCTCTGTAGACTTGTTGAGCTCAATGCCACAGGATGTTAGAGAGAACGCAGAGGTGTTTGGGGAGGGTGGCTGACACACACACACCGTGTTCCTTTACCCGCCCACTGCATCATACACGAACACAAATGAACACCTGAATAATGCCCAAGTCACCGAGACGCAAGGAGACACAAAGCAAGACATATGACAAAAGATCCCACCATTTATTCATCGTTGCTGGAGGCCCATTCGGTGCACGTTTCCACGCAGCCAGAGCGGGGAGAAGAGGTGCAGCCGGAGGGCTCGTGCCAGCATTCCTTCTCCCTTGACGGAACAGATCAGGTTTCCACCAAAGAGAAAGAACCCCGACTGCAAGGGGCGCTGGAGAACGACCACCAGCAAGAATCCACGACAGGAAAGGCAGACACACAACAGGAGGAGGAGGAGGAGACTCCAGGAGCAGCTGAGAACTAACCATCCACCGACATCACTCCCCCCGGCCCCCCCGCCTTCGCTCCCAGTCCAGTCCTCAAGGGCCCGGCGAGACAAGAGGGGGCCAAGCGAACCTGGCCGTTCCTCCTTTTAAACTTGAGGACAGGAATAGATTCGGTCCATAATAATAATAATATTGTTAAAAAAACCAGTTCCATGAATGTGGGGAGAGACTCAGCTGTGATTCAGCTTCTCACAAAAGGAGGAGGCCATTCATTCACAAGGCAGCGTGACGTCAAAGGCAGGAAGGGATGGAGGGGCTGCCCCTGCACCGGCTGCACTGCCAACGTTCTCCTGACGGTAGACACCATCCCTGGAGAGGAGCCGGAGGGAGCAAGCGCATGCAGGACCCCCACCGGAAGGGGAGGCGGCAGGCTCACCTTGAGCTCCGTGGCAGCTGATGGGTTACAGGGCAATCTCTGCAAGACCTGTGTGGGAAGAGAAGACCAAGAAAGGGGGCAAGGGGGGGGCAGGCAATGGCGTCAGCCCACCCGAATTGGATCAGGACCCTGGAGTGGAAAGACCAGGATTTTAAGGGGGTGGGTGGGTTGAGGGACTAAAGAACTCAGAAAAATCAACGGCAGGTTTCTGAAAATGGGAATCCAGCTTTCGGGGAAGCACGAGTGATCCCTACCCTTCCAAGAAGGGTCGGAAGAGATGGGGAAGAGCTGGCAGAGGCTGGGCTGGGGGCTCAGCATTGTCCTCTTAGGTACAGCAGGGATGCGCCTGGGCCGGCCCTTCCCAAACCCTCAAGTAGGACCGAAGACGATAAAGCAAAGGGGACCTACCCAGTTTCTGGGAGTCCTTGGTAGCCCAAACTAGGCAGTAGTGCTGCATGAGCTGTTCGAGCAGCTCCTTCTCATCAAGGAACTCCAGTGCCTCGATCCTGGAAGGAAGCAGACAGGCAGGACAGCGGTGGACACAGACAGAGGCACGCAGAGAAACCTCTGACCCAAGAAATCCACAGGAGGGATCCGGGGGGGGGGAGGAGGGAAGACAGCTGGACGGGATCCAGAGAGATTTGGGTTCCAAACCCCAACTCAGCTCAATCCTTGGGTTCCAATCCTTCCTCGGCCATGAAGCCAGATGTGACCAAAAAAAGAAGGCACCTCTGGCCTGTTGCCTGGAGCCCTGTGGGAGATGGGCAGGCCATGGGCACACAAATGAATCCATCAGAGTCACAAGCAGTGGGAGGCAAGGGGCCAGACCAAGCCAAGGGAGGACTGTCAGGTAAGGGAGGGGTCACCCAAATGGACCGCCGTAGGAGTAACTGTGGAGAAGCTGCACAGAAGCCAGGTAACTCTTATGACCAGCAAACTCTCCTGCTGGTGATGTTTCTCCGCTCCCTTGCACAGGTGTCATTTACTGAGTGGGATCTGGGCCATCATGATTTATTCCAAAAAGTCACAAGGGTTTTTTTTTTTCTCGACTGAACAAAATGAAGCAGCTAGGACAGAAAAAAGAAAGGTAACCCATTTGCCAAAATTAACCACCATCTAGGGGATCTATTTTGCTCCTGATGTTGTTTGTTCATTTGTTTCTGGAAAGAATACCAGAACAAGCGGCTGACGTGGCTTGCCATTCTGTCTGCAACAGAAGAGATGAAAATGTCATCCCAGCCTAGCGCACGACCTTGACACCCTGACCAGCAAGAGAGAAAAACAGGTGCCAGGCACCGCAGGCTTCCTCTGGTGGAGAAGCCAGTGTAAGGGACTCACCTCCTGACATCCTCTGGGGGCAAACAATTGTAGACGGTCACCATATCTATCGCACTGGCTGTCTCCCAACCGCTGAGTAAGAACCTCTCCTTCTGCGGATGAAAGACAGTGAGATTTTTTTTTTAAGACCAGGTTCTTCCATCTCAAGAAAGAAGAGTGTATGTGTGTGAGAGAGAGGAGGGAGCAGAGACCCTTGGAACCAAGGCATAACCCACACAGGCTGACCACCCCGTGCAACGTTGTGGGGTGTAGTCTAAAACACTGCCATGCCAAGGTTTGCTGGTGGGACAGTCAGGTCTGGAGCCCAGTTCCCACCCCATGGGAGGGCTGGGGAGCCCCATCCAGAAAGCCTGACCTGGGTATCCAGAGATCTGCAGTCTTCCACCCCAACCAGGCTGCACTGCCTGCTCTTCAGATTCTCAATCATGATCTGCCCAAAGCGGTCGCCCATATTCACCTGGAAAGGATGCCAGAGAGCGGCTTGGAAGGGAGGCAAGACTTCTGCCAGATAAACCAGTACGATCTACTCGCACTCCTACCCCTCACCCTCCCTCTTTGTTCAGAAAGTCTCAGGCCGATATACTTCTTCCCCACCAGACCCATAAGCAAAAATTCTCCTTCCACCTTGATTCTTGAACACACAGACACCCGTCCCCTATTTTTCTTTCCTTTTATGTTAGAAAGGTGATCAGAAACAGCTTGTTCCAGGGGATCGCTAGGGACCTCTCCCACGGCTTCCATTTCCACCTCCACCTGGATTCATATTCAAAATTAGGGTATCTAATCGCTCATCTGCATTTCCGCCCCCATCCAGCAGTTTCTCCTTTTCATGTGGACGTGGCTCGCAGCGCCACTCAAACTGCCAACCCTCTGGAAGCGTCAACCAATTAACATTTCATAAAGTTACATAAGACCGCTCACAATGCAGCTTCCAGAGGTTCAACCACCTCTGACTCAGTAGCTATTCTTCCCCATAAAAAGATTATTAGTGCGACGTAAAAGGATCTTTGCTGTTGGGCTGTGGGGGAGAGGGACGACCCGCCCACTAGCTATAAGTGTCCCTCCTCCTCCTCGCCTTCCTTCAGAAGCCCTGCATTCTGACAGACCACCTATCGGGAGGCTTGCAGTTCTGGCCTTGCAATTCTACCTCCGTGGCCACTTCCTCAGGGAGAGTGAAGCCTGGGGGTTTCTGCCCTGTCAAAAGCATGGGAAAACAACAGCCACCCCAACCTACCTGCTCATAGTTGATAAACATGGCTGTCGGGAACATGCCGGCCACCCACTTGAGGAGATGAGCAGAGTGCTCCGGAGTCATGTAGATCAGCACACATTCTGCCACGAGAAGAGTCGGCAACCTTGCCACATAGGGTCGGGGAGGGAGAGAGAGAGAGAGAAAGAGGTGGGGGACAGAGGTCAGATTGTTTTCCTTCTGGCACCAAGATCGCCAGAGACCCAGGGAAGGGACAGCTGGCTCAGCCGTCTGCCCTTCCAGAGACCGGCATATTGCAGCACTACAACAGCAGGACTGCTTCACATGGATCCCCCCCCCCCAGGACTGCCTTAGCGCTCACAACAGACTCAGGGGATTTCCTTTCCAGACAGCAGTGCTACGGGATAAATCTGCCACTGCAACAACAGATAGGGCCCAGGATGAAATGTCTTCAGGAAGCAGACAGCATGCTCTGATGCCAGCAGCAGACCTTCTGCAGTTAAATTGAGAAGACAAGTGACCTCCCCCACTTTTCTTAATGCCTTTCCAGGGAAGGACCTATGTAACCAAGACCTGAACGGTTTGAGATTAGTCATCTCTGCCCGGCTCTAACTGAACGGGGGTGAAGAACTTTGAAGGCTTCTCTTTCTGAACCATGTATGATCCTCTGGCCATTCAGAAGAAGCAAGGACTTCCGTGGCACAATTCAGTTTATAACAGGAATTATGGACCAGAGAGCCTCACCCAATTAAGACCACTTGCCATGTGTCCTTAATGGTATCCGTTTCCTTAGTGAGCCACCAACCCCAAGATGTGTACTTGTCTGGCTCACACAACTGGTTGTGCAGTAAGGTGTTCTTGGTATATGGCTCTCCAAACACTAGAAGTGCTCGTGTGCATGATTCTGCGACAGGATTTGGGCTAATTTTAAACTCTTCTCAACATTATTACACAACCAGTTGCATTTTAATATACAACTTACTGCGTGCTTTCATTGCAGCTTGTGTTTTACTTGTTTTGTAAGCTTCCTTAGGTCCCCCAGTGGGAGAAAGGAGAGAGACAGGTGTGAAGCAAAGAGTGTGAAACTAAGAGGGGGTGTGCTGGAGAGGAAGGAAAGGGGTTTCTGCACTTAGATGTACTCTCCACCTTCAAAAGACAAATATGGGTGTTCTCACAGGGCTTTCCTCTCCTGAAACACATGCACGAGGAGGGTCCTTTTGCCATTTCCAAGACAACCACGGACTTTGGGAGCTGACAGGGTCTGCAATAGCAGCTTCCTTCTGGAAAATCCTATCATGGTCTTAGTTTCCTCCAGCGGCCATGGTTCTCCCAAGATGTCAAGTTTCCTCCGGCCCCACAAGGCCTGAAGCTGGAACTTTTTAGAGACTGAACATCCTGCTTATCAATGACTTAAAAACCCACATGACAGAGTGGAGTCTCCCCATCAGGCAGAAATCAAGCAGTTCAGCACAAGGGGCTCTATAACCAGAACATGGCAGAAAGATACAAGAAAGAGGTTTGGCTGGATTACTCCTCCCTCATCAATAGCCTGAAATCAAGGAACAGCCCCCTCCCCACCACTGGTGGTATACCAATAACTGAGTAACTTTTCTCATGAGGTGACTTTTCAATATTCATAGCAAAAACAAGGGGGGGGGAATGAACAGCTAGAAGCAAAAAGAGAACAATGCTAAGGAAGTGTGTGAGTGGGAGGAAGTGTGTGAGTGGGTGGGAGGGAGGTGGGAGAACCAGTGGGATAAAAAGATGGCAAATCAACGCAGCTCTGCACTGCTTGAGTTGCCTATGAATTTGCTTCCTGCCATTCCTGCTGCCCGGCCACCAGGAGGGCCCATCCCCCTGCGCTTCTCAGCCTACAAAGAAGTCAAAGCTATGGGCAGGCATTTCGGAGCTTGAGGTGTACATTTGGGCAACCCTCCAGAGGGGAAACGGGGAGGAATCGGCACTCCCTCATCCCTTACGGGAAGGCATCTCAAAAAGGCAGACGTGAATGCAGAGGAACCACAGCATCTGGAGAGAAACAGATGCTATACTCTGAGTGTAACTGCAGTTGCCACATTAAGCAGCACACAACCGTGGGCCACTTGGTCTCACACCTCCTCCCAGAAATCACCAGAGCCCTGCAAAACCATCTGGAGAAACAAGCCCCTCTCAAGGGCCACAACTTGACCAGAGGAACCCAACTGATGCCACAATAAAGTTCAACGCAGTATAGGAAGGGTTGCCAGGGCCACAACTTGACCAGAGGAACCCAACCGATGCCACAATAAAGTTCAACGCAGTTCCCTTCGTGGATCTGAATGCCATTAACAGCACTTAAAGCTTTGTAAAACAAGAGTGTCTTTGACTTCTGCTCTTACTGTGCATCCAGGTTGCATTTCTTCAGATTTTCTTCCAGCTTCGGCAGGTCTCTGAGATCTGCACCAATGATGGCGTATCGACTGGAGTCCAGACTGTGAGCATCTGTGGAGGGATCGGCAGGTTAACAGAGGTTAGAAAGCTCCAGACTGTGAGCATCTGTGGAGGGATCAGCAGGTTAACAGAGGTTAGAAAGCTACTGTAAAGGCTAAAACTCTAAACCCAACAGAAGAGGCGCTAGACTTGAGCTATCGGTTTGTTATATAAAACCCACCTTCACTTCAATGAACACCAAGGAGCAAGCAGATGCCGCTTTGCTCCCTTGTGCTTTTAACATCACAACAACCCTGTGAGGAAGGGCTAGGCTACGAGAGACCGGGACGGGCGGGGCCCGATGATCCATAGGGTCCCTTCCAGTTCTAAGAGGAGGATGACCAACCCAACTTCCAAGTTGTGGTATCACAACCTAAAAGTTGGATGCCGAGAGTAATCCTGAACCACGAAGAAAAAGCATCCACTGACTCTTCCCCAAGATCAGAATCAAAACTGTCTTTCTGCGATACATTCCCCTCTACCAAGGCTACTGCAATAAGCCACCAAGAGTTGGGATCCTAGATTAAGAGCCACCATAAAACACCCAACTAGGTTCCTGATCCCAAAAGGATCCTTTAATATTTGAGACAGACCATTTCACAGTTTTACGCCCGCTATCATTAAAAAAAGCACCCTTGGGTCTTCAACCTGACATTTGCCAGAGAGCTTCCCCTTTTCACCCTTGCCCCTCACCCTGCAGAGGAGAGACGTCAAAGAGCTTCTGCTCTTGTCCACCTGGATGCTTTTTAACACTCGGCCGCTTCCCTTTCTAAGCAGCGCAAGAGAAGCACCAAACAGGAGCGGAGCGTTCAAATATTGAGCCCGCACTGAAAGATGGGGAGAGCAAAGAATGCCTAGCTGACTCTCTTTTGTCAAGAGAGTGCCAGCACATTTCAGGATGCTGTGTATAGTAGGGGCTGGTGAAAAGCAGAGGAAAAGTTAGATTCTCTCCTTCCAGCACAGTCCCAAAAATATTAACAAAATCCCCACACAGCAGAACCGAGGGAGGAGGGCCAAGTAGCTCTGGCAATGGCACTTTTACAGATGGATTTTAAGAACAACTCACCTATCAGGAGAGACTCTCCTGAATGGGTTTCCGTAATTGGTTTTGACAGGGGAGGCTTGGATCTGTGGGAGAGAAGGACAAAAAGGAAGGGAGAGGGAGGAGTCAGTGAGCCCTCGGGTTCCTCCTCTTTCATGAAGCATGCAAAGAGCGGGAGGAGGCTGTGACTGCCCTCTACCGGGAAGAGCCCACTAGGCCTGACTGCAGTGCATGTGAAGTAAGCAACGGGCCCTGCAAGAAACAAGTGGGTGGGTGGATGGTCAGGAGAGAAGGGGGTTTTCACCCCTCCCCGAGACAACCTGGAGAGGAACAGAGAGAGAGTAAGGAGGCAGGGACTGCAGCACAGACAAGGTTGGGCAGGAACAGAATGGACTCCAGGGGCACCCAGGCTGCTCTGTTTCCACTTTCCAAAAGCAGGCAACCCACTGAGCCTTCTGGATCTCCCTCTCCAGAAAGAACAAGAAACAAAAATGAACAACGACTTCCTGGCACCTCAAACTCCCACATGTTTTGATCTGGCATAATTCCTTCTGCGGAGCGCAGCTCCCTTCTGCGGAGCCAGAGTAAATCCAAAGAGTGGGCAAGAGCGTACAAAGACTTCCTAGAAGAAACAGAACGCGTTGGGTCTTTACTACAGAGCCACAACCGTCTCTTGTTTTTGCCTCAGCAGACAGATGTGGCGACCTCTCTGGGAAGTCATGTAACAAGAAGCAGTTCTTAGGCAGCAGGAAACCCAGGGGATGTTTTAAAAAACCAATTGTAAACAAAGCAAATGGACTTCGAACAACTGCTACTGCCTACCTCAGATCTGCATCAGTACAGCCAATCCCCCAAAGCTGATACACTAGCTCTGCTCTGTTAAATGTGGCTTTGCTAGCTAGAACAAATTCATAGTGGATTTTTTTTATTTATCACCTTGGGTACTTTTAATAAAAAAGGCAATGGGGAAACGCTTTTCGCAAGACGATGTTTTCACAAGACAGCGATTTCAATGGAATGAATTAACATCGTCTTGCGGGGCACCACTACAGCTAAATACAGAATGTTGGCCGATGGAAGTTTTCCAGAACTGAGGAAGATATATGTGTGCCAAACTAATCACAGCCCTTCCCCAATGTTCACATGTTCCTCTTTCATGATAGATGCGTCAACTAACCAGAGATACCATAAACTGGGACCTACTCTGTTCCATCTCACATGGATGCCCTCCTGAACGTACATTTCCTTCTTTAGAGAAATGTGAATGATAATCATTTGACCCAAGTTCATATCCAGCACACACCAAAGAACTTACTTGATATTATGAATTTTCCTTGTGACGATAGTCGGAAAATCAACTTCAAAGTATTTTCTAGGAAGCAGATTCTCATCCTGAGAAGGAAACAAAAGTCTACACTATCAGTTGAAAGTGATCTGGGCGAAAGCAAATGATTTGTCCCTCAGCTTTATCGGTTTTACCCTTATGTGCCAACAAGTTGCTTCTGCCTTATGGTAACCCTATAAATTAACCCTCAAAAAGTCTCGTAAGAGTCCTGTCTATTCTAGGTCCTTAAGACCATGGCTTCCTTTATTGTGTCAATCCCTCTCATGCTAGATCTTCCTCTTTTCCTTCAGCCTTCAACTTTTTCTATCATTACTGCCTTTTCCAGCGAGTCTTTTCTTTCCATGATAAAGCACAATAACCTTAGTGTAGTCACTTTAGGTTCTAGTGAGAGTTCAGGCTTCATTTGCTCTTGAAGCTAATTCTCCCACCCCCAAAACTGTTTCCATAGGTTGAGGAAATGCTTTGTGTTGCAGAGAGAATTCTGGGACTACCTAGACCTGGTGTGCCTCATCAGTACCTGAGTGAAGTGGAATAATGAAAGCAACTGGATAGATCACACTTCAGGGAATTATACCTCACTGCTTAACTTTTTGCTGAAGAAACTCTGCCTCCCCTACACAACGCAGAATTAAAAAACATACCCTGCTGCCTGTAATTTCAGTGCAAAAGAAAAGGCTTTCAGAAGAAGCCTCTAGAGGTCACTCTAGAGCCATGCAGCCCCTTGCTATCTTATTATCAACATAAGCTATTATCACCTTTAATTTCCAGAAAAGGGTATCCATGCCAGCACCAAGGTTTATAATTTGGCAGTTGTGTTCAGTTTTCTCTAAGAAAGCCTTAAGCAAGCGACCAACTCCCTGGACACGGGCATAATATCCTAAGACGAAAAGAACACTGTCAGGAAAATATCAATTGCCTAACACTTCCTACAGTTTCCAGTAACAAACCTCTACCTTCTTCCTCCTGGCATTCCCGCCCCCCCCCACACACAAGTAAATGCCAATGTACTAACCTAGCCCCTCCTTGCACACGAGTGAACCCGATGACCCCAACCATACGTACCACGGCTGATTTCAGGTGCCTTCCTCTCTTTTGGCTGCCTCACAAAATGTTCGATGTAAGGATCCTTCCAGTAGCCCTTATTGACAGCATATCTAATGAGGAGATGAAAAGACCCCGTTCTTTCAGATATTTTATGCTAGACCAGGAGGCCTTGGATCTCAATTAGGCAAATTGAAAGCGGCTCCTGTTAAGGGAAGCTAAGAATGGAAGGCCTGCTTCAAAGAGCAGCAAAGTGAGAAGCGCAGACTTGTCCTATCTGTTCCCTTGCTGGAAATGCCTGCCGGCCACTAGCTTTCAGTCCTGGGAGAGACAGAAGGAAGGATGCTAGGTTGGGCCCAGCAAAGCCCTCCTGGTGGAGGGATTCTATAGTATAGCAGGCCTGAGAGCCAAGACTGGAACTGGCCAGTCCAGAGGTCGTCTCCCTTTGGCTGTAGAAAGAGCCCAAACTGAGGAAAGCTGATACCGCCGCCGCCGCCGCCCCCTCGAGCTCCTTGCCCGGCCCCGCGGGTGCCCTTCTTCGCCTACATCTCCCGTCAGCCCTTGCCAGCGAAGTTTTATGCTAGACCAGGAGGCCTTGGATCTAAATTAGGCAAATTCAAAGGGGCTCCTGTTAAGGAAAGCTAAGAATGGAAGGCCTACTCTGTGTGTGTGTGTGTTTGTGTGTGTGTGTGGAGGGGGGGCTTCCCCTGGGAGTCGCCGTCCACGAGCCCCCTCCCCCTCAGCAGGCCAGGGAGCCCCCCCCACACACACACACACATATCGGGCCGGAGGAAAGGGGGCTCCCGGTGGCGGCCCCGTCGTCGGCCTCCCTCAGACCCACCGCTTGCACTGGGAGGCGTCGTCGCAGGTGCCCCGCACGGCTTCGTCGGAGGAGGCGGCCGACACCCCCACCAGGTCCCGGGAGGCGGCAGCCATGGCGGGGAAGAAGGGGAGGCCGGACGGGGGGGGGGAGGGGAAGAGGCTCAGCGGCCCGAGAACGAAAGCGACGCCGCCGCCGCCATGCCGCCCGGATCGCCTCAGAGCGCCGCTTCCCCCACCTGCCCCCAACGCGGGCGCCTATTGGGCCACTGGCACCATCCCGCCCCCGCCCCCAGAGACACCCGCTCTTTTCATTGGGCGGTGGCGTCGTCACCTCTCAGCTGCACCCAATCAAAGCAGAGAGGAGCCTTCGGCCGGGAAGGAAACCGAAGGAAAAAATACAGTCTAACACTAGCGTCCCCCGTGACGTCAGGGTTTGTTTTGACCGCGGCGAGCGCCGGCCCTCCTTCTACCCGCTCGCTCTCTATGGTTAGATGCGGCCTCCTGCGTCAGGTGACTTCCGGCCTCCGACGAGACAGGGAGCCCGCAGAACCGGAAGTTAGCGGCGGCTTCCGGTGGAAGAGTGCAGTGCCTCCCCACCCCCACCCCGGTTCTGGCGGGACCGAAGGGTGATTGGGCGACCTCTTTCCTTCCCTCCTGGGCTGAGGCACCTCCGGAAAAAAGCAGCAGGAGCGACGGCCAGGTTGGTTTGATTCAGTCGTAGGCCGCCTTTCTCCCGAGGAGGGGGACCCAAGGCGGCTCACCATATCAAAAACCACAGCCGTCGAGTTAGGCACCACCCCCACCCCGGTTCTGGCGGGACCGAAGGGTGATTGGGCGACCTCTTTCCTTCCCTCCTGGGCTGAGGCACCTCCGGAAAAAAGCAGCAGGAGCGACGGCCAGGTTGGTTTGATTCAGTCGTAGGCCGCCTTTCTCCCGAGGAGGGGGACCCAAGGCGGCTCACCATATCAAAAACCACAGCCGTCGAGTTAGGCATTGGCAAATAATAAAACTCTCTGCTAATTAAAATGCAGTCGAGTCAATCAAAGCAAATTTTCCCCTGCTTTCTTTGATATTCTGCTCTCCTTTGGAGGGGCACCTGTTTTCTCCTTTTTTGTTCTTCTCAAAGTTGCCTTCATTATTTTGTTTATTTAAAATGTTGTTCTTCACTCCAGTTTTTCTCCTTGAAAAGGGCCCAAGTGAAAGGCGGTATTTTAAAGTTGAAAGGGATGGGTATTCAATGGTGGTTGACATCATTAAAAGGCAATGAGTAAAGGGGCATCTTACATCATGAACAGGCAATATTAAAGCTTAGAACAATAAATATATACAGTATATAAAAAGTCACTCTGAGGAATGGAAAGCACAAACATGGGAAACACAAGTAGGAATGAAAAATCCAATCAAAGCAGTTATGTCCGAGAGTCCACCTAAAAATCACATACAGGTAGCTGGTTGCTGAGGGAAGGCTCCGTATTAAAAAAAAATCTGTTTGAAATACACGATCGTATCCCAGAGAGAGAAAGATCTGTGACCCCAATTGTAATCTCTTTTGGCATTTACCTGGTCAAGGGGCACTGGGGAGTAAAATTAATATTACCTCTGAATTTCTAGTACATTGTGGAACACCCCATTCCTCTTGTTTTGTTTCCTCTAAAAATCCTGCGTGTGTTGTCTCATCCCTCTTCTTAATACCTTAGATTCCTGAGCTGATAAACTGTTAGGTAAGATAAATATAAATTAGAGGAAGAAGGAAGTGTTTTGATTGAGGGATGCTTTGATTTGTCCCAGTTTTTGGTCATACAAGGAGGATGCTGTGCTTCAAATGAAGACAAAGTGCCTAATACCAAATATTTTCATTGCCATGAATCATGGGACCTGTTCTGCCTTCTCCCTCCCAGTCTCCTGTTTCAGCTTGGAGGTTATAATTCTGTCCTATCTTACAGGCTTATATTATAAAGATCATGGAATGATTATGCTTTTTTTTTAGCAACCTACCTGCTCCCAAGTGATATATAAATGATAACTGTTGTTTTCTGTTTAACTTTTATTGTTGCATTTTTTCAGTATTGCCTTTCCAATGTCATTGGTACTTCCTTTTCCTCCTTATTCTGCTATAGCCCTCAAAAAACAAAGGGCTGGAGGTGGGAGTGGGAAATTGCTGAAGCAGTGAGATGCTGTGGAAATACGCCATTGAATCCTGTCTCCTAACTGTAGATGTAAACCTGTTATTAGTGGTGCAGTTTAGAGCAGCCATTCTCTGTGGGGGGCCATATGGTCCCCTGAGGGGTCCTGGCACATTTGAAGGGGACCACAGACTGGAAACAGTTCCTTCACACACATCACCTTAGGAAGTTCGTGACACAATTTGTACAATCCTGATTCGGCCTGTATTTCTTTCATATTGGGCTTATGGCCATGGGCCAAAAAAAGATTGAAAATGGCTGGTTTAGAATATTTAGGGACTTCAGATACACTTCCAGTAGTTCTTAGATTGTGAGATTGTTGCGGATAATGGGGCTGAAGCTGAGAGGGTGAACTACCACAGTCTCCAGCAAATTCACAGCAGAAGCCAGGCCTGACCCAGAGTCTTCTTTGGCTCCCAAGTCGGTCCCTTAGCTCCTCGGCTACTCTCTAGTGCCTTTCTGCTATTGTATCTCTGGAGCCAGGCTATCTAGTAGGATCAATGCCAATTGCCTTTTTAATGCTGTTTACTGAAAGTTCTTATTGTTCAGGTCTGGAGAAATGTACAGAATGTTCTCCTTTGAAAGACACTTGTAGAAATCCTTTCGGGGATCCGGTTGACATGGAGAACAGGAGCTTAGCTGTAAATGACCTTTGCCTACGGCTGTGTGTGTGTGTAGGGTGAGGTCTTTTGCTGCACTCCCAGAAGATCTGCTGCTATCAGTTCAGTTTATTGCTGGTGCTCTCGGAGTCTGCTGAGCAGGAGCTATCTGTTCGCATTCATTTGCCAGGCGGTGCATTATTGGGATCCTGCAGAGGCCAGTGATGTTTGCTTATGCATAAGCCCAGCGTATGCAGAAGTTAGAGGAAGTTCTTGTTTCTCCCTTTATTTTGGGTTAAGTGGGGAACACTTAGAGAAGTTGTCTCTTTTGCCTCCTTGGCGCTCAAACACCATAGTCCCCAAAGTTGGTCAACCTCAGAATGATGATATATCAAGTACACTTTATTATTTCTGGTTCCGTTTGTTTGACATTTGAAGCCTAATTAACCTGAAGCATCCCAGCACAGGGTTTATTGCAACAATATGAAGTTCAATCATCCGTGTAACATTAACTTAATAAAATATCTGTTGCAAGTCAGCTTGCAGCCAGATTGATCTTTATGAAACACAGCATGTCTGAAATAGGTTTTGTCAATTGTTTACAAGAGGAGAGTTGTACACACGCAGGACAGCTATCATAGTCACCTCCTGGGTCAGTTTGTGCTGCTGAAGCGCTGAGCAAGGTGCTGTGGAGAAGGCTTGCTTGGTTGATGCTACAATTTTATGCCAGCGTGTGTGCAAGGGAACCTAATCCATGGCACCTGTACTGCCCCTTCATGGAAATATGGTGGCTGGTAAAGAAAAGACAAGAAAGTGGCGGGGCTGTGGAAAAACCTCTTATTCCCGGGGTTTGGCAGGTGCCCTCAATGCATGACACATTCTCTAGGACCGCAGGAACTCTTTCCAGAATGACAGGAAGGTGGCGTCACTTGTTATTTGGTGTGTGCGAGATGAGGTCAAAGGGTGTAGCCTGTCATGCTTTGTAGCTGACAGCATCGTATTTGGGAGCTGCCAGGCGTTTCATTGGCTTTAATGCCACCTGTATTTGGGCTTCTTTAACCAGGAACTGGGATTTTGTTTCACTTTGCGGAGAAGGCCTTAAACAGAGGGTTAGCCTTTGCCAGAGCGCCTCTGATGCCACCTTGTACGTCCGTGCCTGGCAGTTAAGATTGCCGTGAGATGTTTGTAGGATTATAGCCTTAGAGCTTCTCTGCAGTTTCACATCCCCATCTGCTTTCAGTTCACATTTGTTTTGAAAGAGGGCTCCGAGGCTGAAAGAGATTCAAGTGAGGAAGAGAGTTGGATGATTGGGTGCTCCTCTTTCCTATACAAGGAAAATGGTTTCCAGAACCAGCTCTGCAAGGCAGAGCAAAGTGGATGCCTCAGGCGGCGGCAGATGCTAGGAAGCAGCAGGTCACAGTCGGACAGGGTTGTTTGTGCCACCTGGCCTGCCCCGTATCCCCCAAAGTAGGCAGTCGCCCACAGGTACTGGGCAGGAGAGGGACCTGTTTCCCAATGCTGAAATCAGACTGAATGGCTCATCCAGTTGGCTTATATATAGAGGTGCCTCAGGGTGTTTCCAGCCCTGAGTTTGGTAGTAGTTTCATTTCCTCTCCTTATCGTCTCAGCGGTTTGAGAATAGCACCAAAGGTTGACTTGGCTTGCCGTATAAGACATTGCTCTGACTGCTTCTCCCGCGGGATTTGTATGGGCTGTCATAGCTTGCTGTCTTACCAAGCCCTAGAAAGTTTGCCGTAAGTCAGAATTGACTTGACAAGCACACCCCTGTTGGTTGTTGTAGGTGGCAGTCGCTAGTTGGACATGCCACTCTTTTCTGTATAACTTTTCATTTCAAACCATTAAATAAGCAGGAAAGAAAATGTCTCTGGGCTTCTGCACGTGGACAAATCATTCTGTTCTTTTTTTACTGTCTTGTTTTATAAGCCTGTATTGTGTGATCTTCTGCCATTCAACATGAGTTGTCATTGTCCCAGCTCGAAATTAATGACTGCAACTTGTTAAAATCTTCTCCAAGGCAGGAGGAAATCGAAGTTAATATGTTCGTTAATCTTCCTCGGGCTCTGCTTCAAGAATGTTTTGACTCTCGTTCCAGTAGAATCTGCTGAGCTGGTAGGACTTGGCTGGTCTTCGGTCGGTTGGGAATTGGATCCTGCGTGCGTTCCTCCCCCTCGTTTTTCAGCTCCTGATTTTTCCTAATGTGAGGCATTCTGGATCTTACAATGCAGGAAGCATTTCAGAAGTATTCTGGCCTTAAAGCCTTAGTGGTTTTTCTCCTGGAAATTTCTTGGAGTTGAATCCTCCCTCTTATAAATGATCTTCTTGAACTTTGCTGTACCTTTTCTCCAGCCTTTTCGAAAGTGAAACCGTTTTTTCCTTGTGTCTCATGAAATGAATTGTAATCCGCAAACATACATCTCAAACTCCTGAAGCTGCTGCTGTGTTTTTGTTTTGCTTTGTTGTTC